AGTCCCCACCTGAGTGGCTTACTGCATAGGCTCAAGTTGTGGAAGTGAGGAGGTGGAAATAACATAGAACACATGTTTTATGCTCTGTCTACTTTCTACCAGCTGGGTCCCAAAGCTCCCTTTTATTCTGAGAGTATAACAAAAATCTCTCTTATTCAGACCAACTAGAAAGGGATTGGGACAAGCTCCCTTTGAATGATTGCAAAACCTGTATTATAGACTATTTTCCCAAAAAATGCAATTTGTTATTTCCAAATATATAAAGTAACTTGAACTAGGTCAACAAAGTGTTGCCTAGTAGAGAAGCCATAGTATACAAGGGGAACTATTTTAATGACACGAGAATGGTTTATAATGATCATAACTAAATTAATGGATACTTGTAAAATGCTTGCAAACAGGGTATAAACTAGAAGCACCCCACCCTCTACCCCCAATCTGCTTCACAGCATTCTTCACTACTAGTTCACTGATAGAATTTTTGCTGAGATCAGACATAGGAAGCCCATGTTTGATCCTTGATCAACATATTTAAATCAGGAGGTTGTGGGGAAAGTGCTAGGCCTTTATATTAGATCTTGGAGGTAACAAGGAGAAGCTGGAGTTTATTAAATGGGGTGACATGGTCAAATTTTAGGAAGATCAGCTTGGTAGAAGAAGAGAGGAGGGATGGGAGTGGAGAAAGATGTGAGGCACAAAGACCAACCAGAAAGCTATTGCAATAGTTCAGTTGAGAGGCAATGAGGGCTTTAGAGTGATGGCTATATGAGTGAAGGATGCACATACGAGAGATGTTGGGAAGGTAGAAATGAGAAGATTTGACAATGGATTGGATTGTGGGATGAGTGACAGTGAGAAGCTGAGGATGAAACTTGGGGTTGTGAGCATTGGGGCCTTCATCAGTCATAAGAAAGATCAGAAGATAAAAAAGGATTTGGGCAGGGGAGGGGGGAGGAATGATGAATTATGTTTTGGACATATTGAGTTGGAGATGCCTATGGGACTTCTAGTCTAAGATATCCAAAAAGGTAGTTGGTGTTTCAGTACTCTGTCTCAAGAGCAAGACAAGAGCTCATTATATAAATCTGGAATTCATCTACATAGAGATGATAATTGAATTTGTGAGAGCTAATAAGATCACCAAGTTGAAATAGTATAATGGGAGAACAGAAGGGGACCCAAACCAACGCCTTGGAGAATAACCATGGTTAGTGGGTATGACGTGGATGAAGAACTAGCAAAGAAGACAGGAATGGATAGGTAGGAAGAGAACCAAAAGCAGTGACATAAATGCTCAGGGAAAGTATTCAAGAGGAGGAAGTGATCAACAGTGTCAAATACTGCAAAAAAAGTCAAGAAGGCCATTAGATTTGATGATTAAGAGATCATTGTTAACTATGAAGGAAGCAATTTCAATTGAAGGATGTGGTTCAAAGCTAGATTGCATTTACTCACAAACAAAAGGAGACCTATAGGATTATAACTAGTGTGGATGCTAAGATCAAGTAAGGGGGGAAATGGGTGAATTTGTAGGCAGCAGGAGAGGAACCAACAAATAGGAAAAGATTAAAGATTGGTGAATGAGGATGATACTAGAAACAATCTTCTAGAGAAAGTAGGAAGGGATGGGATCAAGGACTGACCTTGGTAAGGAAAAAAGCCATCTTTACTGAAGAAGCTATCTAAGGGATGTGAGATGAGAAGAGGGAACTCTAATACAGACATATAGTTATAGCTATAGATAGATATCATCTTAGGTTTTTTTTCCAGTGAAATATGAGACAAAAGCCTCAGTTGAGAGGGTGATAGAAGGAGTGTTTTGGGAGACTTGAGGGGGGATGGGAAGGTTTAGAATAGCTGCTATAGAGAGTGAGATAATGAAGCAATTAAGGAGAAGTAAAAATGATTGCCTTATACCACTGAGAGTCCAGTTGAGATTAGGTAACATAAATTTGTGGTAGACCACATCAGCACAGTTTTCTTATTTCCTCTAGCTCTGTCCAGCAGTACCTAAATGGGAAAGAAGACAGATGGTGGGAGACATCCATGGTTGGGGTTTGGCAGAGCATCATCAGTGATAGGACAGTTGGATGAGGACTTCAAGTGTAGATAGAGTATAAATAAAATTAAGTTGGTTCACCAAAGGGTCAAGATAAGGAAGGGAGAATAGTGTGGGAAGGATGGGTGGTGCTGCCACCCCCAGGCTCCTGTGCCTAGCTGCATGTTGGTGACCATTGGCCACTAGTTGGTGGTGGTGATGAGGAAGGTGATCCTCTTCTCCACAATGATTCCTCTCTTCAGTAGTGGCTGGGGAGATAGTGCTATTCCCAAAGCTCTTGGGTCTGGTGTCCTGACACCTAGCTGTCACTTAAATGCTTGGTGATTGATTGGTGGCTTACTTAGCTTTCTATTCAATCCCATGTAACATAATTACTAAGTGCCTACTATGTGCAAGTCCTTGTGCTAGTAAGTGCTGTCAGGGCTGTAGATATAGAGAAAGTCTCTGTCCCCATGGAGTTTATAGAGAGATGAGATATGGTATAGACCATCTGAACAGCAACATGATTGAATTTATCACAACAAAGTCAAAACTACTGGACTTGGGTAGAAGATTAGAGTTTCTGTTATTCATTCCCCCAACAGTCATCCTCATAATCGGTGGGTCCCACTCTGCTAGCTAATTCATAGCTGCTGATGATGCAAAATCCTCAGGGGAAGTCATTTATGGAATCAGAATCAAAGCATGTGCTCCCTTCTCTAATCTCTTTCTTTTCTAAGGATGGATGCAAGCTTGGACTTATCAAGACCCTTCCCTCCACCATCCTACCCTGAAAAGAAAATCTTCCCACAGCCCCCATCTACAATATAGGGAATCTACAAGCACCCCCTTTCCTTATTACAAGTGTGCATTAAGCTTTAAGGCTATTGTAGTACATTTTTGTGTAGTCAACCTCCCAAGGGCCTCTGAAACCCAACTTAGCTTCATCTCTTCTTAGCACTAACCACAAGTCAAGTCTTCTACCATCACCCTCCTCTCCTTTATTGCTCATTTATTCTCCTTTCACGGGGAAGTCCCAGATAACCATTCATCTGTAGAATGCTGCCATGCTCCTTGCTAAGAAAGGATTGGAGTTGGGAGGGGAAAACAGTCTTTTCAGCTGTGGAGTATAACAGCTAGTCTAGAAACACCTTTCAGGCAGCCAGTAAACACTTATTAAGCACCCATTATATGCCAGCAGGAAATGAAGAGATGAATTTGAATGACTTTTGGAGCAAGGCAGCAACTAGGAAAGCAACATCTTGGGAAGGCTGGTCTAGCATTGGTGTACAGAAGAATTGTGTGGGGAAAGAATGGAGACAGAGAAAAATGAGAAGGCCATGGTCCAGGTGTAGTGATAAGGGCTAGAGTGATGAGGGAAGAGACATTACCAAGGAAGAACTGATAAGATTAATTAGATGTGATGAAAGGAGAAAGAGTCAAAGATGACTCCAAAGTTTTGAACCTGGCTCACTGGTAGACTCAGAGAATTAACAGAAATAGGATATAATAAAAAAAAAAAGTCAGAAGGGAGGATGAGCTGGGAAGAGGGTGGAGAGGAAGAGGAGTTTGATTTAGAGGCTTGAGTTTGAGGTAACAGCAGGATATCCAAGTAGACAGGAACCTGTGAGAGATGTCAAGGCTAAAACTTGGAAGTTTCAATACTAGTTTTCTCTTTTAAAAAATATTCTTAACTTTTACTGCTATCTTTTATTTCTAAGCCACCTTCATATCCAACTATATATCCTTACCCTCTTTACCACCCAATCAGCCACCACTTGTAATAAATAATCGGAATAAAACAGGGGGAAAGGCAGTTCAGCAAAACTAACCAATACATCAACTAAGTCTGACAGTATATGCAGAGTTCTATACCCATAATCTCCCAGCTATGTAACTGAAGGAAGAGAAATGAATTCTTTCAGTTTTCTCTGAAGCCAAGCTTGAATACCTGTTCTGTTCAGCAGTTTATAATGACTAAGAGATAAATTTAATGCTATATTCAGGAAAAAATAATCAAAGGAAGACCTTTCTAAAGAGCTCCCCATGAGAGGCGCCTGCTGATGGAAGCAAAACTGTTGGCTTTTGGGTTGGGTTTTCATCCCCTCCTGCCTTGGAAAGGAGAAATAGAGGTCAGGCACTACTTCAGGTTAAATCCCAGCATTACTGAAAGTCCTCTGGTGACTTGAACTTACCAAGTGCCTACAAATAGGTAGCCCCTGTTAGTCTAGTGGACTGAACATCTTAAGACTCTATCTGGTGGCTTGAGCCGAGAGAAACGTGATCAACCTTGTAAAGTCACATCGCTTCTTAGTTCAAAAATCTTCAGTGGTTCTTGACTACCTACTAAACAACATTCAAAGAACTTTGCCAGGCATTCAAAACACTTTAAAATTTGGTGTCACCCAATAAAGAGAGAGAGGGGGGAAGAGAGGGGGAGGGGAAAGGAAAGAGAGAGAGAGAGAAAGAGAGAGAGAGAGGAAGAGGGAAGGGAGAGAGGGGAAGGGAGGGGGGAAGGGAGAGGGGGGAGGGAAAGAGAGAGAGAGAAGAAGAGGGAGAGAGGGAGGGGGAGGGAGGGGGAGGGGGGAGGGGAGAGAGGGGGAAGGGAGAGAAGGGGGGAGAGAAGGGGGGAGAGAGGGGGAAGGGAGAGAGAGAGGGGGGAGGGAGGGAGAGAGGGGGGAGGGAGGGAGAGAGAGCGCGCGCGCTTCCCATTGCCTTAGTTTCCCAGATTGTTTTAATGTAGTGGATTCTTTGTCTTTAATGGAGGGCCACCAAAGAGAGTGACTTCATTAGATGGATGACATCAATGAAGGGAAAGTTCCAAAGGACATCAGCTCCTCATGTCGTTCCTCCTGGGTTTTGTGAGGCCCAGCCTGGCTTTTGGAGTTCTCCTGTGCCTAGCCCTGGTTCAGAACTATTTAATTGGAATACCTTCACTTAAGCTTGTGCTCTTCTTTTGCAGTTTTTGAGGAGCCAGAAGATCCAAGCAACAGGTCATTTTTTTCTGAAATCATCTCTTCAATTTCTGATGTGAAGTTCAGTCATAGTGGAAGGTATATTATGACCAGGGATTATCTGACCGTCAAAGTCTGGGACCTCAACATGGAAAATCGGCCCATTGAGACTTACCAGGTACAGTACTGGGTCGATCACCGAGGGACTGGATGAGCCCTCACTAGCTAGATAGCTCATGATACAAGAGAAGTGTGACATATAGTCCTTGTCCTCAAGGAGCTTGCAATCTAGACTTCCACTGCCTCCTAGTTGTTCCATGCATCTAAGGCCACATGTAATTAACTGCTATATTATGTGGACCTCCTATAAAGCCTGAGGGTTTCCTAGAGGGTCACTGTAAACTGTAGGAGCTAAGGGTGATCTCATGGAGGGAAGTGGGTATTGACTTGAGCTTGGTGGGATTTGAGGGGGTTGGGAAGGCATTCTAGGAAGGGCATTGAAGGTAAGTAAAGGTGCAGAGATGAGATGGGCATGGTGTATGCCCTGACATTTGGAACAAGAGGCATTTCCAGAGTCTTATGAACTAGGTGGAAAAGATAAAGAAAAATTATATAGGAGAAATAGGAAAAAGGGAGAAACATGAAACATTAGGGAATAAAGGTAAACACACACACACACACACAGAGGCCTAGGAGTCAGCCATATAGCATATGCTACTTAACAATTGCTTTTCTACTAGAGACAATAGGGCCATTGAGGATGGAACACAATTCAAATTTTTCCATCCTCTTCATAGTAACGAGCATCAAAGAGCTCACTAAGTGCAGCTCAGTTCAGGGAAATAAATGCCAAGTGCCTCTTAGGAATGAGCCGGGGACAGCACCCAGCAGTTCTTAGGCTCCAGGACCAAAGAAGAGGGCAGGGAAGCCAAACAATCCATTATAGATATAAACAGATGTAATCCTACTGCACTAGAGACATCTCCACGACCTTAGCAATTTGAAATTATAGCCATATTAATGAACCAAGTAGAATAGATGAAGGATAATCCTACAAGAAAACTGGGAATGACATCCAAGAAAAGAAACATTGAACAATAGAGGAGGAAGGAAGCTGCAGTTAGCAGGAAGCATGGTACAATAGAGAGGACTAAAACACAAGTCTGGAAGACCTGGGTTCAAATTCTTTCTGAGAAACAAGCTGTATGGTGGTGGGCAAGTGACTTAACCACTCAAACCCAGTTCTTCATCAATAAAAATGAGGTTGATCTAGATCAGGAGCATCAAACTCAAAATAGAAATGGAGCCTACTAATCTATAAGTAAAGATCCCTGGGTGACATATTGACTTAGTTTAAAATTTTAATATTATCTACGTTTTTATTTCATTTTTATTCATTTTGTTAAATAGTTCCCAATTACATTTTAATCTAGTTCTGGCTACACTTAGGAGGCCACATTTAGGTTATGTGTTTGATACCTCTGGCCCCTAAAGTCTTCTCGAGATCTAAATCTATGACACTATGAGGTTTAGAAGGCAGTGTGAAGTAATGGATAAGTGCTCCATTTACAATCAGGAAGACCTTGGTTCAAATCACTTGCTAGGTATCTGACCTTGGACAGTCACTTAACTAACCTCTGTGGGCCTCAGTTTCTTCATCAATAAAATAGATCCATAAAATAGATCCAATAAAATGGATCAGATGGCCTTGAATATCCCTTCCAGCTTTAATTCTTTAATCATATGAACTTAACATGATAAATATTTCTTCAGTGGGGCAGTGTGGCCACTCTCCCAAGGAACCTCCCAAATGTGTTTCTGTCTTGGCACTGCTGCCCTCACAGGGCCACCTTCCTCCCTCACTCTAGCTGAAAATATGCCTAGTTATAGCCTGACAGCCTGGAGCCAGAACAGCCTTAGGCACTGTTTCCATCCTGCCTAGTACATAGAGAAGCCGAGAGAAGATGAGCCATCTCCCAACCCCCCATAGATAGTGGGGCTTCAAGGCTGTCCTTCACTGGGTCATTTTGACTAGTGCTAAGGCTGTGAGGAAGGGACTTGGTCATTTTCCCCTACTCCGTGGGGGAGGAGATGGGAAGCTGAACATGTTCCTTAGCCAGTACTGTAAAGAGAGCTTGCACCCTAGGGCACAGGTCAGAGTGTGCCAAGTGCTCAACAGGGCTTGACCTTTAATTGCTCTGATTTCTTTTTATACAAGACTAATCTGAAAGGGAAAAGGGAAAATCCAGTGAACCTGCTTTCAAATGTTCCAGGGTAGTTTTACTTTGGCCTTTTTTCTCCTGTGTAACAGACTGTAGAGTAAAAGCCATTTGGAAACACTGGTCATTAAGTATTAAGGACCCTACACTTCATTCACCATTTGGTCATTAGGTAAACCTTTAGCGACTAAGAAGAAAGCATTGTGCTAGAGGCGATACAAAATTAGAGAAGGATCTGATTTAAAGCTCACAAGGTTCCTTCCCTCATGGAGCTTACAATCTAACAAATGGATATAACACAAACATAGTAAACTATAATGTACAATTATACGATAAATGCATTAGAGAGGTATAAAACAAAATGCTAATTAAGGTGGGCAAAGGATCATCCCTGTTACTGGCACTTTGACAAGTCCAAGACTCAGAGTTCGTGCCTTTAAGGAGTTTACAAGCCCATTGGTCTCCCTTCAAGGGCCGTGCTTACAGACCATCTGGAGGGTGGTAGTGACATAGCAAAACAAAGGATTATAATTCAGTGGCACACACCTTTATCCTGTAGACAATGAGTCTATAGAGGGACCTTGCACACATCCATCCCCCATAAGGCAAACACCACCTCCTAATTCCCAGTGGTGGAAGACATCATCTCAGGTTCATCTGCCCATAAAACAGAGATGATAATATTATTCCCCACACCCACGAGTACCACTACCACCCCTTGAAATAAGGAATCAGCAACTAGAGTAGCACTTGGAGATGTCCACTGACATACTCATTAAAATGAAAATGAGCTCACTGGCTTATTCTCTTCTATTTCTTCCCACAGGTTCATGACTACCTCCGTAGCAAGTTGTGTTCTCTCTATGAAAATGATTGCATCTTTGATAAATTTGAGTGTGTGTGGAATGGGTCAGACAGGTGAGAAGCACTAGCAAAGAACCTTTAGGCTGTCCTTGGCCTTGCTGACATCCTGGCTGGCATCCCAGTTGTCCCAAGTGGGAACTGGACCGTGTATGACAAGAAGAAAAGGATCATGTTGAATACTGGTTGGCCAGACCCATAGCATAGCTTGGGATTCATGTATAGTGGGTTACCTGATTGATGCGCTGTGTCCTAGAAAGCAGAGATACCCAAAGGATGAAGTATAGTCCCATAAGATACCTTTTTACTCAAGGACTGATGCTTCCTATCATAGAAGGAATAATTAATACTCCTGGCTACTGGCATTTTTTTTTTACTCTAATCCAATCCAGTAAGCATTCGTTAAATACCTCCTAATTCAAGGCACTAAGTCAGATGCAAAGGACTACCGAGACAAAAAGAAAAGCAGTCCCTGTCCTCAAAAAGTTTACATCCCACTAGAAGAACACTGCTTTCTTTTTATACAAGACAACATGAAGAGAATGTGTGACCTTGGGCAAGTCACTTGATTTCCTTGGGCCTCAGTTTCTTCATCAATAAAATGAGTGGGATGGATTAGATGTCCTCTGAGTTCACTTCTAGCTCCACAGCTATGATCCTGTAATTCAAAAATGCTCTAAGTTCATAATTATTTAGGAAAAATAAACAGAAAATAATTTCATCTTTATAAGCTCTCTCCAACATCAGGGCCAAGTCTACAGAACTAACATGAACTGAAAAACAAAATTAGCTCTGCCAACAATCCAATCATGACAGCTTCAGCTGATGGAAAACAAAGCATATTTGTGAGGATCAGCTGGCTATTAGCCTCCACGTTCCTCTTTACTCTGCTAGTGCAGACCCAGCCTAAGGTTGTTGGTTCAGTCCAAATGTAAATCATATATCGGGCTCCCTGAAAAGAGATTGGTTACAACTTTAAGGTCTGTGATATTGAAGGCAGTGGACATGGAGTCAGGAAGCTCTGGGTTCAAATCCCATCTCATTCACTTACTAGCTGTGTGACCCTGGTCAATTTAGTTAACTGATCTGAGTCTCAGTTTCCTCATATGTAAAATTGAAAATAATAGCAACTACTTCACAGGGTAGTTGTGAGGATTAAATCTTAAATCATTACATAAAATCAATTGTTTTTAATTGTTCTTCAGTGGTTCATTTTTTAGCTTAAAAATTACCAAAAGAAAGGCAGCATAGTAAGAGAAAGAGATGGCCTCAGTCAGAAAAAATTGTGTGTTCATGTCTTCTCTCTGATGAATCCTGGTTGTTTGACCAGGGGCAAATCACTTAACCTCTCAGTGTCCTAGGAAACCCTCTTAAAATTTTAAATTGAAGAGCAGCTGCTAGCTTTCCTGGGTAAAGGGAATTTCCTCACCCAGATTTATCTGCAACAATAAAATCTTAGGCCTAATTCCTCCCCCAAATGGATTTTTCCAAATTTCCTAAGGAAACAACTCGGGTATTATGACAGGTTACCTACTATCTTTGTGCCAACACCATAGAGTAGGGATTAATTAGCTCCTGTTTCTAAAATGTCTGACAAAGGACAATATTTGCAAGTGCTTTGTGAAATGTCATTATTGTCACTGAGAATCAAATGTTTAACCTGATTATCTTTCTGATATCTGGTAGGTTCTCTCTGACACGCAAACATCATCCTTTTAGAACTGAATGTCCTCACATGGTTTACAAAAGCAATTAGGATGAATTCTAGTCCCAGCTCTGCCACTAATGATGTATAAAACGGGGCAAGTCTCAGTTTCTTCATCTGTCAAATGAAGGGATTGGAAGGATTTCACAGGTCCCTTTTCAGTCTATAAGTAGAGTGTGGGTTGCCTGAAGGCAGGAATTACATCAGTTATTTATGATCTTGTGAGATGACATAGCAGATGAATTAGATTTATATTAAAAGGTTAATGTAGAACAAAGCTGAAGAGGTACCATGTCTACACAATCAAAAACACTAGATCAAAACTGTAGTGATTTTTGTGTGTTTTTCTGCCATCTTACTGCCCAGGCAAGAGCAAGGCAGCCGATTAACTGTACAATGCAAACCGGCAAGCATAAAGTGCCTGCTCTGTCCAAAGAATTGTGCTTGGCATTGAGGATACAAAGACAAAACAACTGACTTGTGGTTCCTGCCTTCAAGAAACTTACATTCTATTGGAAGAGCCAAGGCTTTAACCCAGGCCTTGCTGACTCTAAGGCTTGTCTTCTTTATACTATGTGATGCTGCTTCTTCTTGGATTAATACTAGAAATAACAATAAGAAGAAAGTATATATTCTTTTCTCATAGGATGAAAGAAAAAAATAATTTCTTGATAAGCCATTGCCCAAATATTTCTCCCTTTGTTTTTTGTCATAAAATATATTTCCTCATGACATTTGTTGGCCAACAATGACAGGATGTTTTCCCATTGCCCACGTCCGAATACTTCTCATTTGTTCGGATAAGTTGAGTTACAGATGTTTGAAGTAACCTCTTTCTCACCGTTACCTTTTCTACTGGTTTAATACTGATGATGACCGCTGCTCTAAAAACTGTTTAAACAAAAGAAAATCCAGATCTCTCAGAAGATTAGGTAGATATGGATGACTCCGTGGTCTAACTTTGGCAGCATGTAAACTCACAATTCAAATTTGTAAAAACCAACAATAACATTAAGAAACTTGGGATTATTTATTATGAATAAAGAATCAGTAATTCAGGGACTGATAACTAGATATCAACACAATAAGATAAAGCCAGTTTCAGGAACAACTATCCCAATCAGCCCTTTAAGAATGACCAGTATGGTTCAACAAGAACAACAAAGCCATTCTGTCTTTCTTTCTCCATAAAACTACCAAGGCAGGAGACGGTCAAGGCTAGAACACATTTCACACAGGCTTGCACCTTGTTTCACCAACAAAAGCAATGGGTGTTGTAACGGGCCCAACTTGTATACAACTAATCCTTCTTTTTCTCCTCTCCCACTTTGCAGCGTCATCATGACTGGGTCCTACAACAACTTCTTCAGGATGTTTGACCGAAATACCAAGCGTGATGTCACCCTGGAGGCTTCCAGGGAAAACAGCAAGCCCAGAGCCATCTTAAAACCCCGCAAAGTATGCGTAGGTGGCAAACGGAGAAAAGATGAGATCAGCGTGGACAGTCTGGACTTTAGCAAAAAGATCTTACATACAGCTTGGCATCCTTCAGAAAATATTATAGCAGTGGCGGCTACAAATAACCTATATATATTCCAGGATAAGGTTAACTAGGAGGACAAGTTATACTTAATAAGCTCACATACTGAATACTAGTCAAACAAGTTTTTAAATGTTTCTTTGGGTTTTCATTTTATTCATTGACTTTAATTTTCCTATGCAGGAAACAATTGGAATAGAAGAAAAACAGTCCAAAGGCCCCCAGCTCCCCCAATTTTAAGAAACTGTGTTGGCAAATCCAACAAATAGATTCAGAATACTTTTGTTTAGAATCGAGAGCTGCCAGGTAACCAGGACCCTTTCATAGTTGACTTGAATTTCTGATGCTTTTATTACCCAGTTCTCTCTGGTGAGTCCAGTGTTTTGTTTCTAGGTGTCTGCTGAGGTGAAATGAGATTGTCTGTAGTATTTAAGGGGGGAGGGGGAAGATAAGATTTTTTTTTAATTAAACAATTCCATTTGATTGAAAAATAAACACTGTTTACTCTACTTTTGGATAAAAATCTGTTTGCTTCCTAGAAAACCAGACTTGCTTTTCCCCTTCATTTTAAAAAAATTCTCTATGTTGTTGCTGTTTCAAATAATTTTTTACCTCTTTTGAGGCTGTAAAGGCAGAAATCCAGGGCCAAGGTTAGAGCCTGGTTAAAAGTTGTACGCGTACCACAGCTTGCTACATTTCTCTGTTACAACCCCAGGCAGAGAATTTGGCTCTAGACACACTTCTGTGTTTGAATGAATTTGTAGAAGACTTTTAATCAGAGCTTCTAAAGTCTGCCATCACAAATGTAGATGGGCCTGGACTCCAATCTCTATTTTCTTTCATTTTACTTTTCTCTTTGTTTGCTTTAAGTATTTATTTAATTCATGTACATATTCATTAATTTGATGAAAACCTAAAGACAGAAGAAGTTGTTACTTATATTTTGACATTCCAAATGAGGGAGTGCCCTTACCAGAGTCTCCCAAGTTGGAGACTGGCATCCAGGAATCTTTCTCATCCCTTTTCTCCCCACTCCTCCCCCGCCAGATATTATAGCCAACAAGGTAACAAAGCAAATGCCATTTTCTGAAAGTTAATTGCAAGTTGCAACGCTCCCAAAAGCTCACCCTTTTCATTTCCAAGGTGAAAACCCATGAGGTTGGGTGACTTCTCCTGGTGTGAAAATTGTACGCGGAAGGGAAGGTCTGTGAAATTCACTAGAGCCCGCTGAGGCTCAGTCTAATCCTTTAACGCTTCCTCCCCGGTTGGGGTTTCTGACTGGTGACACTTCCTGAGAAATGTCAATGATATCCCCCTAACGTACCTCAGGGAGTAAGACTCAATGAATGCAAAGGATTTCTGGCTTCTGGGAGAGTTCCCACAAACAAACCAGGGCCTGGATTTCACATCATAGTAGCTGCAATTTCTGCTCAGGTGCTGGCCACTCACTCAACCTTTCATAGCCCGTCTAACCTGCCACCTGCGGAAAGGAAGGTGGCTCAGGACAGAATTCACGGGCAGCCGTCTTTAAAGACAGGGTTTCCTTGGTTTGTGGCTTTATGTAGAGCCAGAAAAAATCACAACTTTCAGGGTTGACGTTGGAGGGAGTGTTGCCAGGGCTGGGGAAGAAGGGGAAACGGCAGAAGTGCATCCTATTTTCCCAGTGTGTTTTTTGTTTTCCCTTGTACCAAAAGCCTGTTCTGTATCACCCCAAGTAAAATTCTCTCAGTTATCCTCTTGGCCTGCTGTGTGGACTTTCTCCTTGTCACCCTCATTCAGTTCATCAGGATGCTTTGCCTGGAAAGCCAAAGCTTCAATCAAAATATGGGGAGACAACATTAAGTTAGCCAGTTGCCACTGTATGTCCTGTGAAGGTCAGATAGAATAGAAAGCATTGAATTCAGGAGTGGAGAGGCCTGGATGTGAGTCCTGGTTTTGCCACCAACTTACTGTGTGACCTTTGGCCACCTTCTTCCCTTCTCTGGGCTTCAGTCTCATAAACTACAAAATAAGGGTGTTGAACTAGATACACTCTAAGGTTCCTTATAAGTCTATGACTATAAAATAAGCAAGCCATCTCTAGTGCTTTTCAAAATTGTTTTAAAAGGTTCCCTGTCACCTTGGATTTTCAACCTACCCTACCCCCTCACACATATCATTAACTATCACTGACTCCCTGAAATAACTTAGTCCTTTAACATTCATTTATATATAAATTTCCTATATGTATTTTCACGGTTTTCTCAATCTGATCCATCAGTCTCATCCTGAAGCCTGTTGGTTGTTTATAACAACAGTCAGGATCCTTCCATGCTTTTAGTTTGGAAAGGAAGAGGCAGGAAATTTCTTGAGACATCACATTTCTTATGACCAGATACAAAAAAGCAAGAGGAAAGATGTGGGTCATAAGGAGGACCTCAGTCCTCGCTGTGGATAGCTGCTGATACATCTACATTCCACTAAAGCAATATTTATCCGACTAGGTAGGAGTTAGAATTTTACTGAAACTTAAAGAAAGTTGTGATGTTTGAGCATTGGGGAGCCAGCTGATTGAGCTCTCTTTGTATTTCCTCCTTTCTAGACACCAAGTGCTGCTGAAAAGGAGATTAAAAGTGTGGTCCCCTGAATAAAGGGATAAGAAAATCAGAGGACCCTGTAAGATAAGCTGAGGGCAACTGGGTTCCAGGACTAAGGAGGAACCTTGACACAGCTCCTCACCAGCAGGGTCAAAGGAGACCTCTGAGCAGTCATGGGCTTGAGAGATCAGAGAATCATTGTGAGCCAAAAAGAATGAGAAGCCCAACTTAGCTAACACAGAACGTGTGTCCCAGACCTGATGCATTACTATCTCTGCAGTGGTTAGTTAGTCTACTGGGACCCCACCAAGCATGCAAAAAGGTTGACAGCTTACAATCAATACTGTGTGCACTGATGCAGGAGGCAACATTATCACATCCAAGATATTACCCTCACATCCCAGCATTGACACTAAATATCTCCCATAACGAGACTATGGGAAGTGACAAGGGCCATTATTCTCAGCCTACAATCTTTCCTCACAGAAAGAGAGGAGCTGCAAACCTTCCATCAGATTTCCTTGTGGGAAGGAGCTTTGGCTTCCCACGGTAATCTCCCTTTAAGAGTCAAGTATGTGCTTAATATAGCAAGATCGGGGTGGAGAGATTGGCATTTCCATTTGTTCTGGTGGCCCTGTTGCAGGAGGAGAGACCCCCATTGGCTGACAGTTGGTACAACAATTTTCAGCTAGGGTTGAAAGGGAAGTGGCGGGGGGGCAGGGAGGCCAATTTTATTCTATGCTTTCCAACTCATTGTAATAAAGAAACTGCTTTTCCTCAGTATGGTTGTCTTTGGGCTGTCTGGCTGCTGCATAATCAAAAGTCATATTTCAACTAGGCCAGGGAATTCCAGCTCCATGTGTGGAGAGCTTATAGTCATCCTGAATCTATCAAACAGAACAGCTCGAAATTACTGTTGCATGTGAAATGCAATGCATTTTGCTTGGTAGAGGAAGGTTCGTTAATTCTCACCATTTGCTGGCCACACGCTACCTAATACTATGCCTAAGGAAATCAGAGAATTGTTCTTTTGTGCCATTGTGGGCACAGGAGGAGAAGGCCAGGGGTTGGAACACTAGGGTTGTCTTTTTTTTTTTTAACTCAGCTGCTGACTTGCAACACTGGACTCCATTTCACAGGGCCTCCTTCCCTTCCTGACAAGATGGGGAAAACAGCACTTATTGTCCCCTTTGAAGGGCTAGAAAGGTTAATTAGCTAATGTTTGCAGTGCTCCCCACTGGAAGAGTCAGTTGAACCACAAAGAGTTCATTCTTTCCTTGAAGATCAAGGCCTGCTGGAAAAACTCATCTGCTGTCCATCATTCTCACCACCACCATCGCCATTTTCAAACCTGAGCTCTTTTTAAAAGCATAAACCAATCCTGTGCTGGGAGGACATGTGGGACTTCAGGAGCAGAAGGGCTCCAAATAACTAATTGTTTTGATCAGGATGGTGATGGTTAATTTAACTTCAGACTTTATCCCCAGGCACTGTCCCACTGTGTTCAGAGGGAGACAAGGAGGAGGTCTAAATGGAGCAGGATCACAGGTTCCCTGCTTCTCTGGCACTGACTGATTCTGCCTGATTAATGGGATGAGATGGAGAAAGGGCCTGAACATCTCACTAACGGATTCCACTCTCATTTAGAATCATATCTAAATTCAGGAGCCTTAATTTAGACATGGTTCATAAAGGGCCAGTCTTGGAGTCAGGAAGACCTGGGTTTCAAGTCCTGTTTCTGACACCTACTGGGCTGTGTTACTTTGGGTAAGTCACTTAACTTCTGAGTGCTTCCAGATAATTCTCTAAAAACTATGTTACAGATGGGTTAGAAGTCTGCATTAGTGAAAGTAATCTCCACACTGGGGGTTTCCTATACTGAAGGAATCAGAGGCCCAGACCCTTGCTCCTCCCTCCACAAAAAAAAAAATTCCCAAGAGAGAGGTGGCTACTTTACGCGTTCCAAAAAAAAAAAAAAAGCCTGAGATTTTTTCCTTTTAAAGGGGTGCTTCCCATCCAGACTAGGAATACAACTGCAAGTTAAAATTAGACCAGCCTGATGGTAATAAAGTTATACGCTTGCAAGAAGATCATAATGGCTTCATTTCTCATGAACATGTTAATATGACTCACAGTCATGTCAGGATGTTTATATGGAATAATGGTAATTAAAACGAATGGTACCACCATCTACTGCACAGACGTTTTTATGTTGTTCATCTCTCTTCTCTCATCTTCATCCTCCTGACAACCCAGTGACCCATGGAGGACTGAAATCATTTTGCTGTGACGCAAATGACTCACCCAATGTCACGCTGCAAGTTAATAGCAGAGCCGAGAGTTGAATCCAGGTTTCCTGAGTTCCATTCTGATGTTCCTTCGCCAATGTCAGATAGGAACACGATCAGGCACTTCCGGGGGGTGGGGGGTAATTCTAAAGTGCACAAAGCCCTGGAAACAGAGCCAGAAGGTCTGTGCTTTGCTGTCATTTTCCAGGTAAGGTAAGTGTTTTGACTGGCAGACAGAAGTTGGTAGGATATATTAAGCATCAGACCAGGTGCAAGCAGACCAAAGTAAAGTGAAACTTGGGCTTTCAGGAAAGGGAGAGAAAGAGGAAAGAAGGCAGGAAGGAAGGCAGGTATGGGAAGGGAAGGGAAGGGAAGGAAGGCGGATGGGAAAGGAAGAGAGGGAAAAGGAAAGAAGGGAGAGAGAGGGAGGGAGGGAAAAGGAAAGAAGGGAGAGAAGAAAGAAGGGAGGGAGGGAGAGAGAGGAAGGGAGGGAAAAGGAAAGAAGGGAGAGAGAGGGAGGGAGGGAAAAGGAGAGAAGAAAGAAGGGAGGGAGGGAGGGAGAGGAAGGGAGGGAAAAGGAAAGAAGGGAGAGAGAGGGAGGGAGGGAAAAGGAAAGAAGGGAGAGAGAGGAGGGAGGGAAAAGGAAAGAAGGGAGAAAACAAAGAAGGAAGGGAGGGAGGGAGAGAGAGAAAGGGAGGGAAAAGAAAAGAAGGGAGAGAAGAAAGAAGGAAGGGAGGGAGAGAGAGGAAGGGAGGGAAAAGGAAAGGAGAGAAGAAAGAAGGAAGGGAGGGAGGGAGGGAGAGAGAGGAAGGGAAGGAAAAGGAAGGAAACATTTAATAGGTGTCCACTATGTGCCAAGCACTGTACTAAGCACTTTACAAATATTACTTCACTTAGTCCTCACAATAACTGTGTAAGCTAAGTGCTATCATCTCCATTTGCAATTAAGGAAACTGAGGCAAACAGAGATTAGATTGCTTGCTGGTAAGTATCTAAATCCAGATTTGAATTCAGATCTTCCTGACTCTGGGTCACTGCACCACCTAGATGCCAGATAAGACTTACAAGTCGCCAAGGTCGGGTACACGTTCCTGACCGGTCTCTGCCAGGTCTGGTCACCAGATCATCAATCCGGTTATGTCACAGTTTACAGCGCCCTAAGTCTAGTCCAACTCTTAACTTTACAAAGGTGACAGTAGAGGCCCTGAGGCTGCCCCCAGGCATGGCAGCTTTTACTACCTTTGCCCTAGGCGGAGCAGCTAACACATAGAGTACTGAATGAATGCTTATTGAATGATGGATTACAAGGGCGTTTACTTTAGCCTCAGAAGACCTGGGTTCCAACCTGTCTCTGTCGCTACCTCAGTGACAAAAAAAGCAATTTATCCTCTTTGTCCTTCAGTTACCTCCTGGGTAAAATGAGGGGGTTGGTCTATGTGGCCTCTAACAGTAACTACCAGCTCTACGTATCTATGATCCTAAGATTAAGTCAGTTGCCCAACATCGCGTAAGTAGGAGGTGGCACAACCGGGATTTAAATCTGGGTCTTCCAATTCCAGATCTATCGCACTGCACTGGTCAATTGACTGGCATCTAAGTGCCTACTGTGTGCCCAGTACCTGCTAAGCAATAGAGAAAGACAAAGGGTGGTCTCTGCTCTTCAAGAACTCACAGTCTAATGGGGGAGACCACACAAACATTTATGTAGAAACCAGCTATAAAGAAGAGAGATTGGGGTAGTCTTAGAGGGAAGGCACTAAGAGTAAGCAGGACTGGGAAAGGCTTCTTGCTGGGTAAGACTTGGGCTGAGGCACTATTCAATTGCATGCAGATGCCATTGACTCTCAGTCCCTACAATCCCAGGATGTTG